ACTAAGCAGCTGTCAACCAAGATTGCTGTACCTAGCAAAGCTGTCTTCTAAAATTGATAGATAAATAAAGCCACCATAACAAATCACAACCTAAGGCAACTGGTGACAACCGTCCCACTACTGCATAAATATTTAAAAGAATACTATACACGGAAGAAGAAAGACCCCCCCCTTCCACAAGTCTATAGGAAATAATAAATATGAGAGGAGTGGTGAACAAGGCAATATGTCTTGTTCAATACAGAAAACCAGCAAGCTGCAAATAATAATGGGGACTAATAACTAACCACCAACCAGAGCGACAACAAACAAGGCCACAGAGATGAACAAATCTCTGTGATGCAGCTGGTGAGGGGCGGGGACATCTCTCCTGCTAATGTGATCAAGGGCCAGCTCTCCCACCTGCCCCAGACTGCAAGGGGGAGGGGAAAAGGGCATCTCTCACCCATCCGCACCGCTATATGGCAGATGACAGGTGGAGCCCGATCTCCCACGCTCAGGGCCGGTTCACCTGCATCCCTATCTCAGCTCTGCTGTGCTGTCCAGGCAAGGTGCATTGTCCACATTCCTGAGTGCTGCCGCTGGTAAGTGGGCCACGTCCCTCGCCACCGTAGATGGCAGGGACCAAGGGGGGAAGGCATCTTTCCCTTGCCCTCACTACCACAAGGCAGACAAGAGGGGTGTGACCAGCTAACCCACTCTCACATCCTCAGGGGCAGCTCACCCAAACTTCGGCCAACAAGGTCCGCTCTCCTGTGCTGCCCAGGCAAGGAGCAGGCCCACCTTCCTAAGTGCCGCAGCTGGTAAGGGGGAGGGTCAGCTTCCTCTTATATCTCAGGCAGTGAGAGGGGATAGGTAAGGTGAGGGGCATCTCTCTGATAGCTCCTCCGTGCTCACAACTTTGGGGCTGGCTCACACACACACACACCTTCACCAACAGGGACTGCTCTATTGCGCTGCGCAGGCATAGTGCAGGACCTGATCTCCTGAGTACTGCAGATACTGAGGGGCAGGAACAGATCCGCTAGAACATGGGAATGAGCTCATCCTACGGATCTAAAACTGCAAGATCTCCACAAAATAGGGCAACAACACCATATGCAACAGGAGTTCCAGTGGGGGCCCAGCCGCTGATAGTGTAGCAGAAACCAGAACCCTCGAACCAGGGCAAACACTCTACAGTGAACACTTGCGAGAAAAGATGTAGGGATAAAACAGTTTACTTTGTGACTCTATGATAAGATTTTTTTCTTTTTTTTTCTTTGTCTTTTTCTCTTGAATTTCACTTTATTTTATTTTGTGAGGGAGGTTTCAAGGACAAAAGGTGGATACTAAGGAACCAGAAAAAATGGGATCAAATGCAAGCATGATGTGAAAAACACAAAATATAAATATAAAGAAAGTTAAATAAATAATTCAAAGAAAAAAGTATGTAATCTTTTTACTGATATTTTATTTTCTCTATTCATAGCCAAACCACTTCACACCTGATGGAGAAGGACGCTAACTCAGAGTTACATCCCAAAGCCCACTGGGAATTTATGTTAAGAAAATAATTTAAATACTAACTGCATTTGGACTATTAAAAAGAATTTGAATAGAAAATCTAGTAATCAAACCACAGAGCATATATAAAATCCCTGCCAATGAATCCATTGAACATAACACTAGTGGACTATGAAAGACATTCGTTCATATCTTAAGAATAAGAATCACCAACCCTGAAATATGAAGTAATACAAAAGGGCCCTACTGCTATTTAAAAGATTATTTAGAAATTTGGCTCTGGTTTGTTGTCCAAAAAAAAAAGAATCTCACAAGCTTAAAAATAAGATTGGTTCAGTTTGCGTAAAGAGTAAAATATGTTGTTTTTTTCTAAACACCTGCTTTTAGACTTGGGCTGTGTCTTAGCCGGGGAATACTCATAAGAAGAAGCGCATGACTTCACCGAGCGTGTTTCACAGATGCTGTCTGCGGCTGTAACACAGGGAAATTACTCTTGTCCTGTGTTCTTTGTGACTGCCATTTCACATGACGGCAACTTATGTCACGGCTTCTCTAGACTTCATTCCTTTGCGATTCTGCCTCGGACACTCTGAGAGCAACCATTATCTTGAGTAGTTTTGTGCTGAATTCTCATTGGGGCCAACGAACCATCTCATCTGCAGGAATCTTGATGATGCTGGCCACATAAACATATGCTTTGTTTTGTAATATAAAAGTAATTATTTAAGAAATAAGAAAAAAAGCAACCTACTAAGACTCTGAACTATGGATTGAAAATACTATCTGCTAAATTTAAGCACCAGTATTACTATTCTGCCCACAAAAGCTTGTGTTTTTTCATGTATTAGAAAAATGGTATAGTTACTTTAACAGTTTTAATTATTAATCTTTCTTGTACTCAGATTTGAAAAGCAAGTACTATATAAATACAATGTTTATAAATGGAATAGAATATTTGAGGTAGGAAAACAGTTGGGAAGCACTAACTACAAAGTGATGGTTTACTGCTTTATTCTGAAAAACAAACAATATTAATTTCTCTGTTAGTTTCTAACACTGTTTTTATTTGTTAAGATATGTGAGATTGTACAACTATTTCTTTTGTTTATTCATATGAACAATAAATTAATTAAATTAAAACATAAAAAAATCATCTTCATTATGATATGCAAATAAGTTGCCCAGCGAGGAGTGGGATTTTCCCAAGAAACAATCACACTATACTAGATACAATACTATTCTTTTACATAGTAATCATAATGCCAAATACTGTAAGAACATGGCAGCAGCAAGCTAGGAGTCTCAGCTGGGGTCATCGTTATAGATTCCTGGGAGTTTCCCTTGTACCAGGTTTCTGTCTGACCCTGAGATGTACCCCTTTTCCTGTCATCTCTTTCAGTATTCTTCCCCTCCATCCACCCCCAATCCTATTTCTCATGTTCTCATCCCCACTTCTCCCAGCCTATACACAAGCTCTCTTTTATTTCCTCTTCCCAGAGAGATCCATGTGTTCCCCTTTGGACCTTCCTTGTTACCTAGCCTCTCTGGGTCTGTGGACTGTAGCATGGTTATCCTTTACTTTATAGCTAATACCCACTTACAAGTGAGTACATACTATTTTTATGAGCTTAGGTTACCTCACTTAAGATGACTTTTTTCCTAATTCCATCCATTTGCCTTCAAATTTCATGACGTCATTGTTTTTAACAGCTGAGTAATATTGTACTGTATAAATGTACCACACTTTCTTTACCCATTCTTCAACTGAGGGACACCGTAGTTATTTCCAGGTTCAGGCTATTATGAATAATGCTGTTATGAACATAGTTGAGCAAGTGTCCTTGTGGTATGGTTGAGTACCCCTTGGATATATGCCCAAGAGTGGTATATAGCTGATTCTTGAGGTAGATTTTCTGAGAAAATCCCATATTGATCCCCAAAGTTAACTCCAGAATTAATATTTTTATCTTTTCTCCAAAGAAACCCTATATTCAACGGTCACTTTCAGTTTCTTTATCCCTTACCCATTAGTGATGACTATTTACTTTCTGTCTGGATGACTTGCCTACTCTAGACATTTAATATAATTAGAATAATTATATGTATTGTCTTTTGTGCCTTTCATTTGGCAAAATGCTTCCAAGGTTTATCCATATCATAGCACAAATCCTTACTTTTGTCCTTTTTTTTGCCTAAATAATGCGCCATTACATTTTGTTTGCTCATCAGTGGGTCATGAATAAATACTGGGGCTATTTAGACCATTTGGATCTGAGCAGCTGTGTACAGGTTTTGTAATACCTATTTTCAATTATTTTAGGTATAAATCTAGGGATTGAAATGTTGCATCATAAGAACAATTATTTGTTTAATATGCTGGGGAGCTCCCAAAGTGTCTTCCAAAACCACTGTCCTATTTTCCACTCAACTAGAAGACTCTGAGCTGGAAAGTTTCTTTGTGCGCCCAGCACTTGTTGCTCTTCCTCTGGCTTGTTAGATGATAGTGTTGCTTCGTATTTCCCTGCTTGGTAAGGTGCTGGATCTCTTTTAATGTGCAAATGGTTGTTTCTGTATCTCCTTCACATGTTTGTGTACGTGAACGTGGACATGCAAATGGTGCTGCACACTTGTGGAGCCTGGAGGACAGCTAGAGCATCAGTCCTTGCCTTCCACCTTGTTTCATAAGGGTCCGGATCTCTGCTGTGCACTCCAGGCTAGCTGACGAAGGAGCTTCAGCGGGTTCTCCTCTATCCACTTCCATCTGGACAGAGGGCAGCTGGGACTCCAGAGGACCACTGCCGCTCCATCATGTTGGATGTGGATGCAGTCTCACAGCAAGCCCTTTACTGGCTGAGCCATCTTCTGCCCTTGCGTTGTACTTTATTTTGTACTTTACTCTGAAAAGCATTTTTCAATTCATCTCTTCCTCTTCTCACCTTGAACTACATTTGTGTGTTTAGACTTTTTTTGTGTGTCTTGGTCTGCTTCTTTCCTCTTCTTTCTCCCACTACATTCTTTTATTTAACCTTGCTTCATTTTTCTTTTTTCTGATCCTCCTTTATTTAATCTCCTTAATTCCTGATACCTTTATCAATTTTCAGCATTATAATTTGCTCTCTGCTTTCTTTTCTATGGCCAATGGTGGAGCATAGAGTAGCTAGCCTTTGCCATGTTTCTGTGTCAGGCTTGTTCTGATGCTTTGTTTCTTTTCTGAGTGCTAGTGGATCTTCATCAGAACCTGGGTAAAGGTTTTCAGTCTGTGCTGCCAGCCAGCGGTGTTAATTCAGAAGAGAGGGGCGACTTTGAGACAAAGATTCCCTTCCCACACACTTGGAGTTTGCTTCCTGCAGATTCCGTGCTCTGCTCAAGGGTTCTAAGTGCTTTTCTTGCGAAGTACTCTGAAGGAAACTGAGCTGTGTAAATGAGATGTCTGCTTCCTGCCAGGCCCTCCCTTGTGATAGGGACTCTGAGGGTGGGGAAAGCTGACAGCCTGCTGACAGCCTGCACGTCTATAAGTGATGCTGTCCACATATATACTCTGACTTGGAGGCAGACAGCCACACCACCTGTGGGCTGCGTGCGCGTGAGCTTGGCCACCAGCGCTTGGGTGTCCTCTGGTTTTGATTTTCTGAAGGTAAGAACCACACACCTAATTAGGACTGACTGGACAGGAAGGTACTGCATACTGCTGACATTTTGGCGGAACCATGAACCCTGCTCATCACTGTTTGTCGTTGGCTCTCTGATTCCTGAGAACCCAAAACAGAGTAACTTAAAATACGGAGGGCCAGACCAGCTAATAGACAGCCTTATTTGGACTTTCACATAAGAGTCAGCTTAGGTCAGAGAGGTACAGGGATTTCTCTAGGGCAGTCAGGCTAGAACAGAAAAGAATCTCCTTGAGGATTCAGGCCCCTGACTCTCCTGAGCTCTACTCCTCCAATCAAGGATCATGTTATCTGAAGCTGGAGGGCTGGAGTGTAAGACTTTGTTAGGTAATAGATGCTCCTGGGGGTTTCTGACTGGGAAGAGTTTGGGTCTTGTTGGTACTCTTGACTGTATCTGCTTATCTGTTATGATCTACTCTGTTCCTGGGGCCCGCAAAGTGCAGCAAGAATGGGGCGTGGCAGAGGGGAGCCACGTTAATGCTACAGATGGGTTGGTAATCCTTCCCTCCTGCAGGAGAAGCCTCTGGAGCAGCAGCCATGTCGTTATGTTCTTTGGCCTTCTTCCTCTTCTTGGCTGCTGTTGCTGGTATCAAGTGCAATGGGACAGAAGTGTGTGGCGGAAGTCCTGGGATCCCTGGCACTCCTGGAAACCATGGCATGCCTGGCAGAGATGGGAGAGATGGTATCAAAGGTGACCCTGGACTTCCAGGTACTTACTGTATGATTACTACATTTTTAGCTTGGGGACAGGGACCTGTTTTTATGAGAGCCATCCTGTACAGGGTACTAGATGATGGGGCTTTTCTGGAGTCCTTAGGTTGTAGTCTGTGTCTTCAAGGTTCCCATGGAGAGACAAGTGATTCACCCACATGCTAAAGGTCCCCATGTCTGTGTCCTCTTCACTCTGTAGGTCCCATGGGCCCCCCTGGAGGAATGCCAGGTCTTCCTGGGCGTGATGGGATGCCGGGAGCCCCTGGTGCCCCTGGCGAACGTGGAGACAAGGGAGAGCCCGGAGAGAGGGGTCTTCCAGGTGAGCAGGGCTGGGGGCAGCGGTCATTGGTAATATGGTCCAGCTTGTCAGTCACATGAGGAATGGTAGGAAGGGTCCAAGGCATACTGCTCAACCTAAATAAGAAACTAGGAAGTTGAAGAGAGAAGCCATGGGGGTTTAAGTAACACATTTCAGAGACTGACAAGCATTGTGGCTGCAGACAGAGGGACACATGGTGTCCTATAGGGGAAGGGAAGCACCACTGGGAGGCCTAGGGGTCATTCTTAGGAATGAGGTTCCAGGACATCTTGAAAGGTAGGCAAAGTTATATGAACTTGGAATCCAGGCAGACAGCGTGATCAGGAATCATGCATGCTGACAGAGCTCTAGGGTATGGATCAATTTAGCAGCCCATCAGGAGAGTTCAGAGGTCCTCATTGCTGGTCTTGGTAGAGTGTATGAGATGGGGGTCCTTTTCTTCAGTCAGAAAAACACATAGATGAGCATGGCATGCAGGGCCAGTCAAGGGATACAGGAAAGCAGAGCAGGCTCAAGGCTGCATTAAGAAATGGGTGTGTAGGAGTATGGAAACTTCTGAACCCTTATAACTAGGGACTGGGCTCTGTGTACAGCATTAGATAATAGAACTCTGGCCTTGTCGCTGGCGGAATACCTGTTTGGTGGCAAGCGGAGCTCTTTGCAGGCTTTCCCCCATCCTGAAATTGTGGGGTCTTCACAGGATTTCCAGCTTACCAGGATGAGGAACTGCAGACCGATCTTCTCGAGATCAGACATAAGATGCATCAAATGATGGGAGGTAAGGGGACCGTTGAAGGTGTCATCAAGCACAGATGTCTTAATGCTTCCCTCTAGTCTTCAGTTCCAGAATCCAGAACCTAAACGCCTGGCAAGTGTAGACATGGGGCTTTGGAGAAAGGAAAGGTGCTTTCCTTTTCTACTGTCTTTGAATGACACAGAAGTGGGCATGGATTTGCTCCCAAGAAAGCATGAAACTGTAGATTCTGTCAATAAATAATTGTTGTCTATCCAGAGATATCTATTAGAGAACACAGAGATGGACTGGGGAAACGAGGCTGGGGAAAGGAAGGGAAAGCACCAAGAAAGACAGAGATGGAGAGATTATGGAGAAAGCTTAAGGGTCAGTGGTCTAACCCAGGCTTCTCTGCTTAGTCCTCAGCTTGCAAGGATCCATGTTGTCCGTAGGAGAGAAAGTCTTCTCCACCAATGGACAGTCAGCCAACTTCGATACCATTAGAGAGACATGCACCAGAGCAGGTGGCAGCATTGCTGTACCAAGGAGCCCAGAGGAGAACGAGGCCATCTCAAGCATCGTGACCAAGTACAACATCTATGCCTACTTGGGCATGGTTGAAGACAAGATCCCTGGAGAGTTCCAATACCTGGATGGGACTTCTGTGAACTACACCAACTGGTACCCGGGAGAGCCCAGGGGTACGGGCAAAGAGAAGTGTGTAGAGATGTATACAGATGGGAAATGGAATGATAAGGGCTGCCTGCAGTACCGCCTGGCCATTTGTGAATTTTGATCAAGCATTTAGATTAAAAAGATAAAATTCCACATGGTTTTTTAGCCTCTATCCTGGTGATCGCCCCTGACCCATAGGATGCTACAACTTCCTTTCAACAATTTTTTTTTGTGACTATTAGAATTAGCAATATTTGCAGTCAACCCACATGGGCCCTAAACTTTCTCCACACTCATTAGCTCATTTGAGTACATTATGAGCATTCACTCATGTCAACCTTGGTTTCACGATGAGATGGAGGCCTCTTTTTCCTCACCTTGTCCAGTTTCTTCATTTGTGAGTGGTGTCTCTGATGTCCCAGCATGAAAGGGTCCTCTAAACTACACAGCCTGCCCCTTCTATCCTTCTGCAGGTCACCCTCTTAGTGCCATAAGATTTAGAAGTTAAAGTTAAACCTAAAAATAGACAAAAGGAATTTCTGGCAAAGCCTGGTGTGTGAAACTAGGCCATATTCCCTATCACCTGCACCCAGGCTTTCCGATAAAACATGGTCTCATAGATGTTAGGGAGCTAGGTAGGGCCACAGTATAGTACTGGTGGAACAGTTTCCCTGGTTGACATGTATAGTCCCCTCCCTTGGGTCCGGAAGTGCCAATTTAGACTCTTGACTTAACAGCAGCTACCCTGGATTTTAAGAGAACTACCCTTTGTACCCAGATCCTAACTAAGTAGTTGCCTACTAATGGACACAGCTGCGATCATTAACTGCATTCCGTTTTTCCCCCCTCTTATGAACCAAATCAGCTATTTTTCAACAATATTCCAGGTGTTAGGTTATCTTGGGGATAACTATTTCCTTTGAGACTGTTTCATGATCTGTGGGATGAAAATAAAGTGATTATTGCAATTACTCTACCTACCAAAATTATTACCCATATCAATTACTACAACAAGGACTGCTGATACCAAGTACCTTGACAAACACTGATAACATTTGTTATTAGATATAATTTAATACAGCTAATATATCTTTACAGAACCAGATTAGGGGCCACGAGAGCTAAAGAGGTATCTGGAATAACATGACATCAATGCTGATGGCTGATGTCAAGGTAACTCCAGGTCTGAGCCCATGTGGTCCACGGTGAGAAGTGATAGCATCTTTTCCACCCCTGCTCAGGTATCTGCTGTGCCATGGGTGAAGGTGGAATTCAAGGTGCAGGTTTCTATGAGTCATTCCAGTCTCAAATGCACAAGGTGGATTATGTGACCCATTCTAGTCTCAGCTATGTGGAATGGGACCATGATCCACACCCCAAGTAGTCACAGCAGTGTAACTATGCCTTGAGGGGACAGCCAATCTGTACCTCTTATCTCTAGAAAGCTCCTGTGCTTCCACCGTCTGACCCTCTCTCTGCAGCAGGAAGCCCAGGACAAAGCCAGGTGGAGGAATGTTGCTTACACTTTCTCAAACATTAACTGCTAAGCTGATCCGTCTGTTCTGTGTGATTAGGGCTGCACATACAAGCTGTTGAGGGATGCCTGAGGGGGAAAAACAGGAAAAAACCATATATTCCCAGTTATATAGACAGTCTAAAGCTCTAAAAGTTGATATTGGCCCCTTTCCTATTTTTATGACATTACTTGCTACTGTTACTATAGTTTTATTTGGACACATTTTTAGTCAGATATTGCTGGTTGCAGGGAAAGCATAATTTTTGTTAATTGATCTTATACCCAACCAACATTTTAGAGTCTTGTTTTTCTCTTAATACATTCAATCCAGGTGAATCTTTAATGTGTTACACATTAACCATTGCATTTACAAATGATGGTATTTTTCCTTGTTCCTAATACATGTGTATGTACCTTGCCTATATTATTTATATCTATAAAATTTTAGAATCTCATACATGTATATAATTAAATATGATCACATCCATGCTCTTTCTGTCTTCCAACTCCTCTTGATCTCTCCTACCCATCTATCTCCTGACCTCATGTCCCCCCTCCTCTATTTTTAAATCTCCTCATCTTCTTCTTAAACCACTAAATTCATTCGGTGCTGCTTATGTGTGCATGGATGTGGGGCCATCCACTGGAGCATATCAAACATATATATGTGCATATTCTCCTAATGTGTTCCAGGAAGTTTTCTATTATTTCACCATTGAAAGTGCATTGCTCCATCTTTCCTGAGTAGATGGTTGATATAACACAATGAAACATGTATATCCCCACTTATTGTGTCAATATTCCCATTAGCTAATTTATAGCTTCGGTGTCCATCAATAGACGAATAGACAAATAAAGTGTGGCATATGACCAGAATTGAGTCATATTATAACATAAAGAGAAACAGAATTATGTCATCTGTGGGAGAACTGATGGACTGGAGACCACCATATTGGGTAAAATAAGCCCGACTCAAAAAAATGCCTCATTTTCTTTTATATGTAAAAACTATGTTTATCTTACACACACACACACACACACACACACACATACACACACCATGAAATCAGGTAGGGGACTTAAGGGATGAAAGAGATCAGAGGGGAGACTGACCAAGAGATGGTAGTATAGCAAAGTACAAATTATGCCTTTATGAAAACATCATCATGAAACCCATTTTCTGAATGCTGATTTTATTTTTTAATTTGCATGTTTTAGGTTTCTAAGAGATACTTGGTACCAAGGTAGAGAAGCTCCCTTTTTTCTTGGTTTGCTAAGGTTTATTTTCAGTTCTTTTCTCAGGACTGGAATGTTCAGCCACAGAGACCAAGGTACTTTTTTTTCTTTTAAATCAGGAATGTGTGTGCTGAACTTTGTCAGATGATTTTCTGGCACTTGCTATGGTCTCTTTGCACAGAGAAAGAGAAACATGAGTGGAGGCCAGCTTCTGGTCCTGGGTATTGGCCTCCAGGGCACAGCTGAAACTAGGAGGTTCTGAGTCTGAAGAAAGACTCCAAGATTGCCACCACTGGGCCTGCAAAGATGAGTCTCCTCTTTGGGAGTGTTACCCATCCCCCTTTCTAGCCTAAGGAGGATTAGAGTGGGAAAAGGGAGCTGGCCACCCTTAGGTGACCTCGGAACTTGCATAAGAAAAATATTCTTTCTCCCATTGTGCCCATGAGACCATCCTTCTAAGTTGTTTGGATAAGGATGCTTAATTTCCCTCAGCTTCCCTGGCTCACCATCCAAGGCAGGCATAAAAATCATTTTCAAGCTGGAAGAGGTGGCTCACACCTTTAATCCTCCCCACACTCAGGAGGAAGGCAGAGACAGGTGGATCTCTGTGAGTTTGAGGCTAGCCTGGTCTATAGATTGAGTTCCAAGATAGTCAGGAAAGCCCTGGCTACGCAGAGAAATCCTGTCTCAAAAACAAACACAAAGGAATAAATTAAATAATAATAATGATGATGATGATAACATTATTATTCTCAGGTTGGGCAGTGGCAGCACACACCTTTAATCTCAGTACTTAGGGGATTCCTGAGTTTGAAGCCTAGTCTACGTGGAGAGTTCAAGGGCATCCAGGCCAGGGCTACCCAGGGGAACCCTGTCTCAAAACAAACAAGCAAAAAAAAAAAAATTCCCACTTCTAGAAGTACTTCAGTGCTGAACACTGAGATCTGATTTTACTGAGTCATGAGGAAAAAAGAAATGGGAGACCTGACCTGAACTCTACACAAAGAACTCTAGAAACAGAGGAAACCATGGAGTGGAAGAAGGGGTCTTCCCCAGGGATGAGTACACTAATTCCTTGTCCAGGGCCAAGCTGTCAGTCCTGAAAGCACATATGCAGGTAGCAGTACACAGACTGAATAGGTCATATGAGTATATATGTATGTGTATATGTATATGAATGTACATATATGCATGCAATAACAGCTGGTGAAAAAAGAGACCATGAATCTGAAGGAGACCATGGCAAGTGTATTGGAGGATTTGGAGGGAAGAAGAAGAAGGAGGGAGAAATATTGAAATTATAATCTCAAAAGTAAAAAACAAGATACATAAATAAATAAAATCTAACTAGTGACACACATCAAATATAAAGACGAATGAACAGTAACTATGAGCCCTGCAATGCCAGGACAATATGGTACCACCTCAGCTCTCAGGGGAAGCTTCTCCTGGGCCGAGCTGTCATTTATTCCCGACACGTGAGCATTGGCTCCCTAAAACACAAGACCCCAGTAACAAGACACTGTGGATCTACATGAGCAACTGATGCCATACTTTGATGTAGTGACATTTCATTTGTATTGAAATAAATAAAGCTTGCCTGAAGTTTAGAGAGTAAAGCAGCCTCTCTGTTCAGCCTTACAGACCAGGTGGTGGTGGCACACACCTTTAATCCCAGTAGCCATATTAGTTCCCCACGGAAGCTGGACAGTAGTGGGGCACACCTTTAATCCCTGTACTAAAGAGGAATATAAGATGAGAGGAGATATTTCTCAGCTCAGTCTTACTCTGAGGATTTGTGGAGGCCGGATTGCCATTTCAGTCTAAGTTAAAGGTAAGAGATGCTTTGCTTTTCAGATCTTCAGGTTGAACCCTGACATCTGTCTCTGGGTTTTTATTATTTGTGCTCCACTCTGATGGGAGGCTCTTGCAGAATCCTTTCTAACGGAACTGGTTCCCACGAGGAACTGTGAGAAGACACTAAACAATCAGATACAACCAGTCAGTGTGTTCTGAAAAGCAGCAATATCCTCACTGGCTAGTAATTCCCTGTGAGAACACACTTTTGGACCAATATTCTCTTCACCTTTCATGTAAACTAGAATAGCATCCATGTATACAAGTTCATGTGACCGTCATGAAAACCTAACAGGAGAGAGAACATTCTAGAGTGACACTTGTGTTACTCCCTTAGGCTACCAGACAAAGAAACAAGGTACCCCAGGTGACTAGAATTTTCTCCAGGAGTCTCATGTTGGAAGAAGGAAAAGGGCAAAGCCAGAGGAGGGACTTGCCTCCTCCAAAGAATTCACAGAGTTTTGACAAGTCTGCAGACCACTTTACAGGAGAGACTAGAGTCAAGAGAACACTAGGAGTGCTTGACTATGCGTAATTCTGCCTTTCTTAAACTTGAATCTCATGCCAGGACCCTGAAAATAGAGCTAGGGATCTCTGCATTTCTTTGTCCCTCTTCCTAATATGATTACACTGGAATAAATTTCCCTTTTTTGTTTTTCACTGTTAATTTGGCCATATTTGTCTCATTGAGTATGGGTAACCAAACTTGGCTTCTTAGGACTGTCAGGAACTCCAGCTCCACACTAATCCCGATTCCAATATCAGTCACATATTCAAATAAGCATGAGATAGGCCACTGCAAGGCCACTGCACATCGTTTACTTTAAGAAGTGATAGCTTCAAACTCCACCAGTACTTGGTGGTTGCAGTAATGAGTTGAATGTGAAACAAGAAATCTTAAGGATGAAGCTCGGGACAAAATCCTATTGGATGTGTTTTAAATCATTCCTGGGAGTCAGGCATTGCAGGGGTTTTTGAAGAGAGAATGTGAAGAATTTGATACTTATACTAGTATTGAGAACAGAGTAAGTTTAAAGCTTTACGCTCATACACATTAGAATTGATATTTTTAGCAAAACTTTATGTATATTAACTTAATGAATTATATTGGTTTATTTTTTAGTTTTGAGCCATCTTTGAATTCCTGCACTATATCATATTTTGTCTGATATTTAATATTCTCATGACATTTACACTGTCAGAGATTCTAATATAGATGCTATTGTTCTTTTCAATTATAAGTTAGAATATTGAAGTACAAAAAGGTCAAGATTATTTGCCAGTTCTTCCATGGCCAATCTGTGGACTCGTGAAAGTAGGAAGTCAGATTTCAGAGGCTGTGCCATAGGTGTGCTACTAGGATTTAATAACAATTTTTCAAATTATGTTTTCAATTGGGCTAGGCAGCAATGTGTGCATATAGCTGCATATCATTAAAAGTTATTTCACTGACTTTTTTCCAATTGTGTTTGGTTCTACTCGAGGTCTCTGCTCCATCCAAGCAGTGTCAGGCATGAGCTCCCTCCCATGGTATAGGTCTCAAGTTAGACCAGTCATTGATTGGCCACTTCCACAGGCTCTTAGCCATCATTGCCTCAGTACATCTTGCAGGCAGGACAAGTTGTGGGTCAAAGGTTTTCTGTCTGTGTTGGTATCTCAGACCCACTACTGACTGGCTTGTCTGGTTACAGATGATGGCCAATTCAAGCTCCTTATCCTCCTATCTAGGACTGCACACTAGGGTCACCCTCATAGGTTACAGGAAATTTCAGCTGCAC